TTTTGATGAAGTAACTTAAGAAATCTTTTGAAATAGTATGAAAGTTTGGGTCTTCCATAAATACGAAAGTTGGGGTCTTTCAGATGTCGGCTGAAGTCCTTCAAAGCCGAAGGAAACATAAATGGGACTGCGGTTGCCTAACCCTAATACATTCAAACGAAAATAACAATTGGGATTCACCTAGAAAATGTGTTGTTCACATTCAATCGGGCTTTAACATATTTTGGGCTTCTAGCAACTTGACATTTTATTATATCAGGCTACACCAACAATAATAAAATATAGGGTACTTTTACAAGGAAAAATCAACAACTCAATGCTCATCCGCTCCAATTCAGTCAAGTTAAACCCGACTCCAAAAGATGCTTTGCGGTCCAACTCGGCATTCCAAAAAAATAAGGAAAAAGGAATTGGGCTAGTCACTTCCAAATGGGTTTCGATATATTCATTTGGGTACTTTTTCACGTTAGCATTTTTACTGGGCTAGTTCAATAACAAAATGACCCAATTCTTGCAAGGATAAACTATCCAGTCAGCCATTCAACGCACACACAATGCAAGCACCACTCAACAAAATAGATTTTCAGAATATAAGTTGCGGCCTAGACTCACTTGACGTTTCAAAAAAAAAAGGTTAGCATTTTGGCCAACAATCAAACAAATGGGTAGCAACACTCTCCTTGGGCTTTTCTTGGGTCCCTTTATGGACCACCTCAACAAGATATGGTTAAATTTTGCAAGATGATAATCAACAAACTAATGCTAGCATGCCACAAGCTCCGCTCAACAGAATATGTTCTAGAAGATGTGTCGCGACCAACACCGAACAAAAAAAGGAGGGAGAAGAGTAGTGTGCTACTACTACTACTACTACTCGTGAAGAATTTCGAAATAGCCCTCAGTAACCGTGCTACCTAGCTATTAGCAACCGTGTTGACAAGCTCCATATAGTCTTGCTACTCAACTCTCATCAGTCATGTTGGTCGACCTCCCGCAGTCGCGCTGCCCAACTCTCGGCATCCGCGCTACACAACTCTTGCATTACATAGCTCTTTCCAGCAGTTACGTATCTCAGTTTTCAGCAACTATATATCCGTCATTCCTTTTCTTCACCTCCTCTAATAATAGGGGGAGGTTGGTTCAACACTATGCGTGATAGTGCATTCCCGAGGTAACATTAATATACTGGATTGAAAGAGAAGCCTCGTAGTTCAACCTTCGGGAGTCTCGTTGCCCAGTTCTTAGTAGACATGTTGCTCATCCATCGCTAGCATCTCCTTGCCTGGCCCTCAGCGGCCATGTTTCTCAACTCTCGACAATATTCCCACTACATACCTCTTGGCAGCAGCTCCACAGCCCAGCTCTCAATAGCCTCGCTGCAAAGCTCTCGACAAAGTCATTAGAAGATGAGGCACCAATTGTCAGTACAGTTAATGATGTTGCAGAGCATCATGTGCCATTACACTTTAGCTCGGGCCAGACACATAGATTTACCGCCGTTATGCCCAATTTTTCAAGGTTCAACATCCTTTCCTTGAGTTTCTTGGCTTCTTAGCCCGAATCCATTATAGTGGTAAGTCCGTCTGCACGGTTTAGTACCTTTGCCTTGAGTCGTTTGGCTTCTCAGCCCAACTCCATTATAGTGGCAAGCTCCGCCTACAAGGTTCAACACCTTTGCCTCGAGTCGCCTGGCTTCTCAGCCCGACTCCATTATAGCGGCAAGCTCCACCTGCAAGGTTCAGCACCTTTGCCTCAAGTCGCCTGGCTTCTCAGCCCGACTACATTATAGCGGCAAGCTCCGCCTGTAAGGTTCAACACCTTTACCTCAAGTCGCCTGGCTTCTCAGCCTAACTCCATTATAGCGGCAAGCTCCGCTTGCAAGGTTTAACACCTTTGCCTCAAGTCACCTAGCTTGTTTGCTTGACTCCATTATAACGGTAAGCTCGGCCTGCAAGCTTCAGCACCTTTGCCTCGAGTCACCTGGCTTCACAAGCCGACTCCATTCTAGAGCAAGCTCCACCTGCAAGGTTCAACACCTTTTCCTCAAGTCCCCTGGCTTCTCATCTCGACTCCATTATAGCGGCAAGCTCCGCTTGCAAGGTTCAATAGCTTTGCCTCGAGTCGCTTGGCTTCTCAGCCCGACTCTATTCCAGCGGCATGCTCCGCCAACAAGGCTCAAAGGTTCGCAACCTTTTCTTATATTATTCCATGTGATGCTCTCCTGCATGATGTATTTACGATCACTGGCAGCTAAGCCTGGTCCATTCCATGTAATGCTCTCCTGCATGATGTATCTATGATCGCTGGCAGCTAAGCCCTATCTATTTCGCGCAATGCTCTCCCGTGTGATGTATTTACAATCACTGGTAGCTAACCCCGATCCATTCCATGCAATGCTCTCCTGTGTGATGTATCTACAACCACTGACAGCTAAGCCCGATCTATTCCATGTGACGCTCTCCCGTGTGACATCTCCATGATCATTAACTGCTAAGCCAGATCTATTCTTCTAATTCGCGCAACATAAGGCGTGCATTGTCACGCACCGTAAGTCGTGCATTATAAGTTTATACCATGGAAACTGTCATCATGGTTTTCCTGTGCTCGGACGATCAATAAAGTGTTTTCTACATTGCATCCTACTATAGTGAGGGTACCTCTCAACAAGAACGTTACCACAACAACAACCCTGTTACCTACAACCTCTCAGCATCTCTGTTACCTAGCTCTCGACAACAGTCTTGTTGCACATTCCCTACCTTTAGCCTCGTCGCTTATCCCTCATCATCTATGTTGCCTGGCTCTCAGAAACAATCTCACTATGTATCCCATACCTTTAGCTTTGTCGCTTATCCCTCAGCGTCTCTATGGCTTAGCTTTTGGTAATAGCCTCGTTACGTAACCCCTACTAGCAACCTAGTCGCCCAGCTCCCGGAACCTATGCCACCTATTATATGGTCAACAACCTTACGGCTTATCGGTTTGACAACAACCATCTTGGACTGGAGTTTTGCTACTTTTTATTATGCCAACAACTTCGTTGTGTATTGATATAGCAACCTTGCCTTATTCATCATAGTCTGATTTGGCTACCTACACTACTCACATCATATTGGGGGGAATCGAGCTAGGTATAGACAAGCAGACTATGTAGATGATTATCGACGACATTCCACCAAGACGATATAAAAATGCCACAACATCTGCTATGCACAGTCATATAGAAGCCTCGATCTACATGTCATCATCAGTAGCAACCTTGCTGCATAATGACAACAACAACTGCATTGGGTAGCAGTCTTAGGGACTAAATGGCGAACTTACGAGTCTCAGCTACCTTGGTCTGACGCCTTATCGACATCATTTTTGTATAACAACCTCACTCTGCATGATCACAACAACAGTTACGTTGCATCAAACCGAACGAATCATACTCCTGACAAGGAAAAATCATTAAGCCAGCCTAGGCTTGGCTCATTGCACATCACCACGACCCTCGTGGGCAAGGTTCGGTTATTCTCTTTATTATTTAATGCATTGGTGCTTTGTCTAGTCTGATCCGATTGTCAACATTACAATCACATCGTACTAGGGGGGACTTGATGACACATGGTTTATATGGCTGAGTCTAATCCAATGTCATTGGTTGCGTACCCATAACATCGGACTAGGGGGACTTGATGATATCAGGTCCATTAACATGGCCTAGACAGCTCTGGTGTGTCAGCCTTGCCCGACTCTCCCTTTCCAGCCTCGTCTAGCACTCTCTTGTCAGCCTTACCTGGGACTCTCCTGTCGGCCTAGCCTAGCGCACCCTTCCCAGCCTTTCCTGGTACGCACCCGTTAACCTCGCTCGGCGCCTCCGGGCGGCTTGGCCTAGCTCCTTGTTAGCTGGGCCTGAATTGGGTTGGCCCCAGGCCTGACCTAATTCTCCTTGACCTAGTTGTCCCCTATAAAGTTAACAATATCTCCTCCATGGAGTTTCCCTTTCGCTCAGCTGCCACCCTAGACTCCGGCCGGGTGGCTCAACCATCACCCTCCACCGTCAACCACCATACACTACCCCCAACACCAAGATGGTTCTCTCCAGCTAAGGAGAACCAACCCATCTTTACCATCCGATCTAACTTGATCGTCGGAGCCTGCTCCCAGGACGGTCTCTGGGGCACTTCTAACGACATTGTCTGTTGTGACCTCACAGATTCCCTCTAACGTAGAAGCACACTCTCAGGCGATCGGAGCCGATCTCGCATCAATAACAGAACATTATAATTTATAAAATAATACTTAGATTAATACATTGTAATATTCAAATAATTATTAAATTACACATATATTAAAGTTAATTTTTGATGAGTTGAAAACAGGTTTATAACTTTTACCTAACTCAACCTATTTAATTAAATGGATTAGGCGGTTGATCTGTTTAATTTAAAGGGGTTGAAAATCTCAACTGAACCTTCTACTATTGGGTTGGGTTCGAGTTGGTGGGTTGAATCGATTTTTGTCAGCTCTATTAACACGTTAAAACAAACTTTAAGCACCTAGACTACAAAAAAATATTAGGGATGTTTTAAAACAAACCGGAGAAATTTATAAGGTTAGAATGACATTTTCAAAAAAAAATTATGAAAAAACCGATTTCAATTATATCAGTTAGCTCTTACGAAAGTAAAATTTTATTAAAAATAAAAAATTCTTTAAAAACCAGTTTGGTTCAGTATTTTTTAGGAAAATCGGCAAGTTGGGTTCAGGTTGGTGGGTTATAATCAACTTCTTGTCATATTCCGAAAAAAAAAAAAATTATATCTACAAATGTTCGAAACCAGATTATACGAAAAGAAACAATATCGTCAGCTTTGGATTGGCAGGTCGGACTTCGGAGTCGTGACTATTCAAATTTCAACAACCAGCTCCTTCTTGACTCTATTTACTATACTCTTATTTTTTTCTAGATTCTACGTCGATTTTAATATTTATCGAGTGAAATTCAAATTTTAGCAAAGAGGCAAACATTTAACTATTTAAGATAAATGTGAAAGAGAGATATTACATAGCTAGAAGATAAAAAACAAGATCAAAGAACAAGCCCACTCACTTAACAGGGGATAATTTGTGTATTGTAATTAGTAATTACAGCATATTGAGGTTTGAAGAATGAATGATAATATAAAGGGCTAATTTGCGTATTGTAATTGGTAATTACTATGTGATATGTTGTTGTTATCTGTGGGTGTCTTCCATTCCATTCCCAAGTTATTCCTTTTTGGAGGTATTGTATGTATAATCAATTAATCCATTGATTTGATTTGATGGGAGGGTTTTATTGGATTCGAGTATACTACTATACTAAACATGATCGTATTGGTATTCGTTAGCACCAATGAGATTGTGACAGGTGGTATCGCAGGGATATGGGCAATCAACTTTTATAGAAACATTTCTTCCGAAGTACCAATCACCAACTGATTCTGCAATTGTCTGGATAATGTTTGAAAATGGATTAATAATTGATTAAAAGCAGAGATTTATACAACAAATAACAAACCTGATTATGCAATTGTGGGGAGTCGGGTGCAAACCATGTGTCTTGTGATTCACTTTGGCAGTGAGCGAAACATGAATTTATAAACGTCCCCCCTCCTCTTCTTGAATAGAACACGAATGACCTTAGAGCTGTAAGCATCTCAACCCTGAAAGCTAAACAAAATGAAAACATTCAAGTAATTTGTATTAACTTATTAAAACTAGTCTTTGTAGAAACAAATCAAGAACCTTGCAGAACGCTTATTTGGTTAGGAAGGCATTCTTTTGGATTCAGTTTGCAATGATTCCAGTGTCCACGGGGATCAGCAGATGGTGGAACTAATATGTGGTGAAACTGTCACAAACACATGTTAATTAGAATTCTTTCTTGCTTATATCAATTTAGCACGGTAAGGCTAGGGTTGTTTTCGATGACAATAAGTGTAATGATATATCTATCTATCTTACTTGGTATACATCGTAGGCGGAGTTTAAGATGAAAACTGGAGGCGTTATGTACTTCAACAGATACTGAGGGAAGATGCACTGCCAATTAACAATTATGTCAAAATAATTTTCAGTTTATGAAGAAAATCGAAACAAAGAGAGTGTAAGCTATTAATGAACAATTACTTGTTTGGGATCAGTGATAGAAGTCGTGCAGTTCTCATCCAGGTTCTGTTCTATTCCCTGTCACAAAAAATTCCTTTTATTGTTTCTGTTGTGTACAAAAATATCAAAGAAATGAATTTATTTACTATATCTTTAATTAGTTTGTTGGCGTACCTGTAGAGTGACAAGATGCTGAAAGAAAGTTCTTTGGGTGTGGTTCATGGTGATATCTGGTCTGCAACCCGAAAAGGGGAAAATCAAAATGAAAATATATACTATATATTAATTAAAGCAAAAAAAATATTAAACTATTAATATTTAATATTTAATATTTAATAAGAAGTTATATAAGAACATACGAATCCATGAAAAATCCAGCATCACCCAGACATTTGACAGTGGTGGTATTTGGTAGATAACTGGTGAAGTTATTGCAATGTAAGTAGGATGCTAAACCACCAGCTGAACACCCAGAAAGCAAAGCCTGGAAAATTTAAGTCAACATACACACAAAAAGTAATACTATATATATATATATATATATATATATATATATATATATATATATATATATATATATATATATATATATATATATATAATAAGATGATGAACTTCATTATTGAGTAGATTTTGAATTGAGGTGTATTAATTGTATATACCTTGTTAGCAAACCTCATGCCTTTTGGCAGAAGATCTTCAATAATTGCTTTCCAAATCCGCTGCCCTCGGAAAAACAGAACTAATGTCTGTTTTGAAGTTGCATGAAGAAAATGATAGAATGTTGGTATTATTAGCAAGAAAGATTACAGTATGTATTTGTTAATGATAAGAAATAAGAGGTTAACAATGAAACTATTTAAGTCATATTTATTATTATACCCCATTGTCAAACTTATTATCCCCAGCAAAAGATCCTCCATCGCAGTATCGAAGCTTCACACGACTCCAGTTGTAAAAATCTGTTTATCATAAATGAATTTTCTCATGTATGAATTCTTATTGGTGTCTTCATAAATGTAGATTGCAGACCAAGACAAGGAATATAATTAAAGATGATTTATGGTTTATTTTCATGTGAATTACTTTAGTTTGGGATATGGATAAGAATGAAAAAAATTAATAGATATCTTGGTAAGCGAAAAAGTTTCACGGATGATATAGAAAAATAAAAAAGGCCACTTTTGTTTATGGAGTGGAAAATTAATATTAAAAAGTTGATGTACTACTACTGCTATGTGTCAATGTAACTGAATCTACAGTTGGTAGCAAGTGTGTGGGTAGCACTATAAATGGAAGATTTTTGTAGGAGGCAGAAGTTGGCTGTTTGAATTTTGGCCCTAGATTTATTAGTATTTAATAAGTATACATTTATTATAGAATAAAGTAAAAAGAAGATAGTTTGTCTGTGGTCCTTCTTGTGGTAGGTCACGTCCCATTTGGCTATTTTTGCCTATCATTTGGCTGTACTCAAGGATGAAACATGTAATGTGTTTCAAGTGCATTCACTTGGGACTAAGCCTCTTGTTTATTGGACAAAAATTATAGTAATTTTAGTTGTCCAGTGTAACAAAAACGGTCTTAAAAAAACCAGTGACAATCATGTTAGGGACCTCGTTTTTTTATTCATCAACTAATGTTTGGATAAAGTGATTGAATAGGTAATGATAAAAGTGTATGCTTAAGGTTTTTTTTTCTACTCACAGAATAATTTACTCTAATTTTCATCAATTGTAACTTGAGAGAAGTTGAATAGAAAAAATAAAGACAACTAGGTCAAAGTTTGGTGGCTTAATACATTAAGCAAGTTTTTTTGACTTAACCCATTGAGTCACTCCAGATTAAGTCCAAAAAAAAAAATCATGTATTATCAATTATGTATTAGGTGTTAAAACTACGAAGCTGTGAAAAAGAACAGTGAGAAGTATAACATTGCAGTAAAAAGAACACTGATAACATTGCAGTTGACCATTGTCCATTAGATTATGTAATGAAATATGACAGGAAAAAACACAGTAATATAGCTAAATGACGTTGGTACCCTTCCATTTGTAACCCTACAATAGTGGAAGTTTAAGAAGGTAAGGATAGTATTGAGTTTTCAGAGTGTCAAACCAGATAAAGGTGGGACAAAAGGCTTAGTGGAGGCAAGGTGAAAGCTGGAAGAGGAAAGGAAAAGAAATCCAGTAGCTGTCTACAATAATTAAACACGTGAATAGGACAAATAGAATTTGCACGGGAGCACATGGAATGCAGTATTCTTTATTTATGGTTGAATTAATTTACTTTTGGATTTCAAGAATTCTTAGAAAACTACACCAATATTGGATAAATTATTATATGATACAAAACTATATACTTTGTATTTCGTTGCTAGTTATTCTTTCTTTGAATTCTAAGTTAATTACTATGTAGGAAAGAGTGAATAAACAACAGTGAGAGGCATTACTTTTTATACTTATTTTTTAAAGAAAAATGGTAAATCGCTCAAGCAATTTAAAAATAATTATACAAAATCATGATACGGTATTCAATTTACACATGAAACTGGCATGAGCTTTATAGGCCAGGTCCCACCATCCTTTGTGTCAATGGACATAATACATAATCCAAAAAAACATATATCTACTATTTAGATCTAAATATAATGTATATAAACACACATCATATCTTTCTTTTTTCTTTTTTTGTATATCTTAGCTTTTGGCATGGATGGACAAAATATTACTTTATTAAGTACTTATTTTTTAATATACTAAATATGTGTTAGAATTTTGTTATTAAAAAATAAGTAGGTATATCATTATTTTTGGTAATTATTTTCTCATTCAATAGTTCAATGAGTATTAAACTTCAAATTGATTGTAGGGTAAAATACATAAAAAAATACAACCTATCATGCAACTATATTTGCAAAAACTCATATTATTATTTTTATTTAGAAAAACATTATTTTTTTACCAATCAATTTATCCAAATTTCAAGTAAAACCCTATTAATCAGTTTCATTTTAAATGATCTTACAATTGTGGCCAATGAGGGACGACATACATGTTTGATGTTATTTTTTTATCAAAAGGTAAAACTCGGTAAAGATGTGATGTGAATCGTGTGATATAGTTGTTGATCAAGTTTTACCTCATGATAAAATGTCAAATGGATGACAAAGACGACCCATGACATCAACCACATCACATTTAATTGCTACATCACTTAAATAAAAATGATTAATATGTATGTTTTTACCGAAAATTTGGATAAAATTAGACCTTGCAATGGGTGATGCAGGCTTCCGAGATCTGAAATCTGTTGAACAGATTTTCGACAAAAATGAGCTTAAGAGACGATGACCATTTTTCGACAAAAATGAGCTTACGAGATCTGAAATCTGTTGAACAGATCTGAAATCCTGTGAACGACGAACAAATCTGAACTCATGTGAACGATAAAACGTCGGATATGGGGGGGGGGGGGGGGGCGGCGGCAATGTAGGGTTTGTTGAGGAAGATGGCAGAACTGATGGTCCGGCAGGAGGTGGTGGTCCAACGAATGGTTTGCAGACCGAGTCGAAGAATGATAACCGTCGCTGGAAACTCGACCGCAGATGCGGTGGGATAGGCGAAATACAGATCTGGACAAACGAAAGTTTACAGATGGAGTTGTAGCGGTGGTGTTCAGATCACCGGAAAAACGAAGGTTTACAGATCTAGACGGTGGCGACGAGATCGGAGGATTATAGATTGACGATGGCGACGAGATGGTGATCTATATGGCAGGCGGAGGCGGTGCTATAGTCAGAGAAAGAGGAGGTCCGACGAGTAGCCTTCGCCGGAGCCAGAGATCCGATGAATGTTTTGCAAGCATAGGATTTAAAAGTGTTTGTAATGTAGAGAGAGAGAGAGAGAGAGAGAGAGAGATGTAATGATTTTTCTTTTTTAGTTATTGTAATTTAAATAAAAAATAAAATGAATATATAAAGGGCAAAATCGTCATTTTAAAAAAGTTTAAAGCAAACTGGACCAAACTTGCAACAAAATGAAAACTTTGGACCTGTGGTGCTAGTCTAAACTTTTTTGAACCAAAGTGGCAATTTTGAGCAAACCACAGGGACCATTTGTGCAGTTTAGTCTTTAGAAAACACAGTATGTACTCGAAGACTGATAAGCCCAACTAATCCTAGAGTGCTTTTAGTTGATTTGCTTTAGTAGAGTTATTTTTGTTATCTTTTTGGCTGTAGGGGTAGTTTGGTCCTTTTGGTATTATGGTTGTTATTGGCTGTTTTGTTAGTGGGAACAACACCTGATTGGGTTGGCTGTTATACCCTTTTGTCTTGTCTCTAGTGGTAGTATATATAGTCCTTTTGTTTTAGAGAGTGGGTAGCTAAGAATTAATCTGTAAGAGAACTTTGTTCTTCTTTTGGAGAGACTCTCACCTCTAGAATTGTGAGAAAACTATCTTTATGAATATTATCAAGAATTTCTGTTAGTAAGAGTGTTACAATGCCTGGGGTTTACGATAGATTCAACAAGGATCTATCAATTGGTATCAGAGCAGTTGATGCTGGGGAAAAAATAACAGCAAATGAACAACAACAACAACCTCTGTGGATTCAACAACAAGAAAATGCCCAGGAAGAGCTGAGGATCATCCGAACAGAGTTGCTAGAAATGGTGAAGATAATGAAGATGCATCGTCAGAACCAGATAAAGAGAGAAGAAGAGACAGAAGCTAAAATAGCAGAAATGAGAAAATATTACTACTCAGAGGAAGGGATGGAGGCTGAGAAGGCTAAATGGAGACAAATTTACTACTCAAACTTGAAGGAGAAGGAGAAAGTAGTCAATGAAGAGGAAGAAGAATCATTGGAAGATACTGAGTTGGAATCTGATGATGATGAAGAAGAATCATTGGAAGATACTGAGTTGGAATCTGATGATGATGAAGAATCCTTGGAAGTTACTGAGTTGGAATCGAAACCTACGATGGAACCTCAGCTTCCACCATCACTGCTGCCGGCTCCATTGCTTTCTCCACCGGTGCTGACACCACCACCATCGTCCGATAATGAAGAAGAACTATCTTTGGAAGTTGCTGAGTCGGAATCGGAATCCGAGTCAACACTGCAGCTCCCACAACCAATGCTGCCGCCGACAGAACCAACTCTGCAGACGTCTCCCCCTCCATTAGCACCGCCGTCTCCACAATCTCGAGGGTTCGAGAAGAGAAACGAGGCTACAAGTCTGATCATGGCAAGCCCTAATCAGAGTGTTACACAGCTGAAAATGCCTTGGTTCACTAGCAACAACATCGATGGCTGGAAATTTGAGGTTGAAAGAAGACGACCCATGCAAGATTGGGAAGAAATGAAAGGGTGGATTCATCGTCAACACGGATCTTCAAAGGAAGGAGCGATTTACGAGCAGCTATGGACTCTTCTCCAGTTAACGGAGGACCAACGGCGTTTCAGTGAGAAGATGGCCCCGTTAGTCGATGGACGGAAGGAAGTGATTGTAGGGTTTTGCATAAATGGGCTTCAAAGAGATAAGTGGGTTGTGATCAACACCTTGGGCTCACAAAATGCTGAACATACTATGGACTTAATGGGTAACGCTTTTAATTTAAGCCCAAATTTAATTGTATCAGCTATGATTTTGACTACAAAGGTCAAACAAAGATTAGACCCACGTTATTTTGACGTCACACTGACCAAATTAACCAGACAATGGTCGCCGATTCCTCAATCTCGCACCTTTGTTTCTCTTCTGCCGATAGAACCTCAATCGGCCACCTCTTACTCAACCACGAAACTAACCGCTTTAAGGTTGGAGGCGTTGGCTTCTCCTAATCTCGCCTTTAAAATCCTAGGGGTCAATATTGGATCCCTGTCATCCAAAACATCATCCAAACATCAGGACCCCCTAATCCGAGAAAAAGGTACTGTTGCTTTCTCTACTGGGTATCATGGTGGGGATTTTACTCTAACAGATTTTGCGAAAATCTACTATGGTATTCACGAGTCAAAGAAGAACATTCATCGGGAATATCAACAGTGGCCTATATTAACCAAACTTGGTGACGATTTGAAGTCGGACGAGCAAACTTTGTATGTGAGAGATGTTCGAACTATCATTTGGTGGGGGAAGAAACAAGAAATAGTTAGATATGCTTATGTGCTTGCGGTAACATATGAAGCACTTCAGGCAATTGAACCATGTTGTTGGTTTCCGATAGTGCATGGAAAATGGTGTATGCTTGTTGGAATCAAAATACAGGAGGATTTGAACACCATTGAGAATGGCATACCGGAAGCATACACTGAGCTGGTGGGGAACCAAGAGACCTCAGAACTACACCACAAGTCTGCTGATGATATTAGAAATCTTCATGATGGCAACAATAGGAATATTGGTATAAGAATTGGGGTATTAGAGGAAAAGATTGTAGCCATGCAAGCTTGTGGGGTATTGATTCCGATTACAAAGAGTGTTTATGTCCCATACTTGGAGGAGTCTCTGGGATTTATGATATGGTCTGCTAGTTATTTCCATGAAGATACACCAAGGATTGCTGATACCGCAGTTAAGATGATTGTGAGGGCTGCAAGGCAAAGAGATGTGTGGGTGAATGATCCGGGTGGTACGAAGAACATGATAAAGAGAACCAAAGATGGGCTAAAGCTGAGAGAAACGGATGATGGACAGCAGCAGGAGTCTCTCAGGAAGAAGTTTGAGGGCTTTTTTGTCTCTTTTCTCGGGTCACTAATGTTATACCTGCACGGTTGGCTGCTTTGGGTTTACCTCTCCTCCTTGCCACTACACATGATCAAGACCACAAGCGTGACCCATTCTTTTCTTCACCTTGAGGACAAGGTGAAAGTTTGGGCGGCCGGTATTGATAAGCCCAACTAATCCTAGAGTGCTTTTAGTTGATTTGCTTTAGTAGAGTTATTTTTGTTATCTTTTTGGCTGTAGGGGTAGTTTGGTCCTTTTGGTATTATGGTTGTTATTGGCTGTTTTGTTAGTGGGAACAACACCTGATTGGGTTGGCTGTTATACCCTTTTGTCTTGTCTCTAGTGGTAGTATATATAGTCCTTTTGTTTTAGAGAGTGGGTAGCTAAGAATTAATCTGTAAGAGAACTTTGTTCTTCTTTTGGAGAGACTCTCACCTCTAGAATTGTGAGAAAACTATCTTTATGAATATTATCAAGAATTTCTGATAGTAAGAGTGTTACAATGCCTGGGGTTTACGATAGATTCAACAAGGATCTATCAAAGACTTTCGATTGGAATTAAAATCATTATTGTAGTTACTTCCAATTGGTTTTTGACCCTCAATTGATAAATGAATTTATTGATTTATAAATGAAATTGATGATTACATGATGAAATATAAATGAAATGACATCATGATTCCTGGGAGAAGACTGGAAGTCTAGAAGTTGAGTCCCCGAGTCCTATGTATAAAATATAAATGTATAATTCTAAAATTTATATGGGGCGGGTTATAAATGGAGCGGATCAGTGATGATCCATACCCGACCTTTTTAATAAAAGGGTTGGCGGGTACAGGTCGTTAACGGGTAAACGGATCAAAAACTATACTCCAAACCCATATAATTGTTAAGGGTTTGGATCGGATCAGGGTCAAACCCGCTTCATTGTCAGGCCTAGATAAAATTGATAGATAAATATAAGGCGTGTCTCATTTTTTTAATAAAATAATATAAGAGTTTTTTCATATATAGATGAATAATTCGGTATGATTGAATTTAATCTACTCTAGAAAGACAAAACTTTAAACTTCCATCCATGTACCATATATATGGTAATGGTCCCTCACTTAATGAAGTCGTTTTTTGTTTTCCATAATCCTAGTAAGGTTGTGTTTTCAGTTGGGACCATCATTTATTTTGGTTTTGTTGTCAAGGAAACTAAAGTCTAGAGTTGAGGTTTACAAACATTTTAATCATATCCATTAATACAAAAGCATTGGATGATAAAAACAAGTTAAAAGTAACAAGAAAATTAGGAAAGCAACATTACCAGGATTGTGGTCGGGGTTATCACTGAGAATGCCGGAGAAGGTCTCCAACTTGTTCATTAGTCTTGTAGATCCACGACGGGTTTTAGCTCTCTCTGCACATGTTTCAATATCATTACACCACCCACCACCCTATCATTACCAATCCAAACCACTAATTATTATTATTATAAACATATAATGGACCCCACAAATGAAACTCTTGTTCGATATGAAACGTTATATTTGAATCAATGGAACAAAAATGTAATGTCATAACTACTTAATAAAGTAGCTTCCTTTGCAATAACGATGCATTCAATAAGAACCATAAATTTCGGAAATCCATACATTTGTGGATTTAAAGTTAGTGCTTGGTTATTGTGTTTTTGCTTAAAAACCCATCAATCTGCATAAGTCATTTCAAGAAAGAGAGAAACGTACATCTTTCCCTAACTTGGTTATATATGGGATCATTTTTGTTCTTCACAAAATCTCAAACTAAAATACTAATCATCTATAAATTATTATTATTATAAAGACAAGATTACATAAACGGACCCTCTCGTTTCCGAATTTGCAAGGATGGTCCATAACTTTGTTGTATGGTTTCAGTTTTTTTACATAGTTGGTCATTGATTCATGTAAAATGAATTTTATACTTTTTTAATTATCTTTTGCTTTATTTATTTAATTACAATCTATGTTGATATTAAACTACAATAGGCCCACCATACCCATCCCACCTCACCCTATCTCTCTCCCTTCTCCTTTTGTCTCATCTCCTCCGTCATTGCGATGACATTCTCTTTCCCATCACGAATACCACCACTACCACCACCACCATCAAAATCTCATTCAAGCCATACAATCCCCTCAAAATTCTCTAAAATAACCCATAAAACATAAAACCTCCATCTTATGAATAGGATTCCTGCCTCTAACAACACTCACACACATTAGGTGAAGACTTGTGAAATAAAAACATCTTCTATCTTGGTTTATACTTGTATAAATGAATAATTCATCAAGTTGTGGACTCAAGAGGGATGAAATTTGAAACAATAGCTTGGTCACTTGGGGAATATACGAAGACATGCATACCTTTACTGAACACACACTTGAGCTACTACGACACTAGCCATTATAATCTCGTTTCTTCCCCGTCAACGACATAACAAAGGGAAATATTTGGAGAATTTGTTGTCTTACTTCCAAACAAAAAATGAATATTTTTAACATAACTTTTTCTATTTAAAAAACGACATGAGTCACGACCAAAAAATTTGTCATATATTGATAATTTTTTAGAAGAAATAAAACTTAGTCTTTTTTGCTAAAAAACATCAAATACCCAAAGATTGCCAGTTGGGAAAAAATACTAGGGTTTTTTATTTAAAAAGGAAAATTATTAGGTTTAAACAGAATAAATCAAAAAATATAAAATGTTTTACAATATTAACCCAAATTATTATGGTACGTTCAAAAAACCGAAGACTGTAACTCTAAATGAAGGTAGGAGCAAAAGTTCTTATCTTAGTGGAAAGAAACATATATATCAAATGCAATTTACCATTTTTAAGCAACGGACACATGACTTGTTTGTTTTATAATTTTCTAGCAACAAACAAGTAACTTGGTTTATTTTTACGTATCAGTAACAAACCTTTGTGCATTGTATAATATTATATGAAATGGACAAGTTTGAACTTTAAAAATTAGTGTTAAAACATTGATTTAATAATTGTCCATCAATACCATATTGTTACCAGTTTATTTATTATTTCTTAGGTACATCATGTTGTTTTATTTTGTATGTGAATTGATGTGTTTTATTTATTTAAACTATTACGATAAAAAATTTAAGCAATAGATTTCTTTATCTTGTCAAACATTTATTCCGTATAAAACATAAAACATTTGAATGCACACAACTACATATGTAATTTAATTTAATATATTTCTAACTTAATTTAATATATTTTTCTGATCATACTTATGAGTTTTCGACTTTTTGATTTTAAGTGCAAGGAGAAAAAAGAAAGGGGGAAAAGTACAAAGACAAAAGATTTGTTTGTTTTTTCTCTCAATATTTTTTTCCAGTTAATTTAAGAAAGAAAATTATAAAAAGTGGAAGATTTAGTAATTCTGTAATTATTTTTTATAACGACAAAATTGTCCATTTATTATCTTACCATAATCACAATTATCAAATATTTATGACACATACACACACATCTATCTTATGTCTTTCTCTCTCCTCACAAACACGCACATACACATGTGCATAACAGACATACACACGCAGAAAGCAATACGCTAAACCCTTTCTGTGTCTTAAACTCTTAATTACAATTATGCTCCGCTTGCAGCTATAAATTTTTTCTATAAAATACATAAAACCATTTTTATATTGGATTTGCATATACTCTTCAAAACATCATAAATGATACACATGACTGTTTTAACTTTCTTACTTCTACTTTTGACCATTTAGTGATCATCAAGTTATAGTCAATTACTATAAAGTTAAATCTGGAAAAAGTAGAGTAACGCTAAATAACTTCAAACAAGAAAGAACATAGATCGCATCAACACACACACAAAAATGAATAAATAAATAAATAAACACTCAAACTGAAACCTACTCATATTCAAGTTATCACGAAAAAAATATTAAAAAAAATCGAGAAATATGATGTGGCATTTGGCAAAATATCTGGAAAAATGCAAAATAGCAAAAGAACAAAAAGTGGAAGTACCTCAAATTGCAAAAGCCAGTTGCGAGCTCCGGCGCCGAATCCTCTATGTATATGATAAGCTGGTAAACTACCGTCCAAGCAATCTACACACACAGACACATATTCATCATTCCAAAAATACGTAAAACACCTTTAAAAGTTCAAATTGAAATATATAATAATAAAATGATCACATGTAAACAGAGATTCCATTATAATTTTGGTATTGATATATATAAATAATAAAAAACATATATACATACAAGCTCCAAGCACCGTAGTGCTGTGAACCACGGTCATGTTCACCAGAAGGCGATCATCGGAAGAAACAGACGTTCCGGCGCATGTTAGCATGGCGCTGACGAGTAACACAATCATAACAACCAGCTCCATTCCAGTAAGCTTCTCGATCAACTGTTTTCGATACGAATGAAAGGTTTAAAGTGAAAACAAGAAAAATGAAATCCTAACTGTAATCTTATATGAATCTCATTGTCGTTTCGGCGCCAGAAAAAAAAATCGAATTCGGCACGTTTTTTCTGATACGAAAACAAAATCACTCTCAACAAAAATGGAATCAATCGTATCTTCTATGTATTATAAAAAATTCCAAATGATTTATGAGAAAGAAAAGACAAAGAAGAAAGACGATAAAGACGAAGAATCAATTTACAGAGAGAGAGAGAGAGAGAGAGAGAGAGAGAGAGAGAGAATGAGGAATGAAGAGGAAGGTTTCGGTTTCAAATCTGGGAGATGGGCGGGGACTGGGAAGGGTGAGTTGACGGAAAAGAGAGGGCCCACCGAGTAGAGCGTGGGCCCCACATGGAATGGATGGGTGAGTGGGGCGGGCCCACGGTCCAGCTTAGAGCCCAGTTGATGAAAATTAGGAGAGGAAAGTCAAAAATTGAGTACCTGGTTTGGTTGTTATTATCTTGTTGCGTTTGGTGGTTTGCCTAACAAATTGACAACCAGTCCTTTTATTTTGTGCCTTCGTGGGTGTTATTTGTTTTCAAATGATACCTTATTAGTTATTACTAATTAAATACGATGATAAATACAATTTAATGTTCAAATATTTAGGTATTAATTTTCATTATTTAAGAACAGATATTTACTTTCTTATTCCTTACAGCGCAATTTATTATTAGGAGGTAAATAAATTAATATATTTTGCTTTCCTTTTAAACCAGGTTAAGAGATTTGTATCATCTAATTCATGAAAGACTGAAAGTCTGAAATGTATCTTCTTTTTCAAAAGAACATCATGTTCTTCTTCTTATTAATTATATTTTGGATGCTAATAAATTACAAATACACTAACAATCAATATTTGATAGGGTGTTATTCGTCTACACCAATCTTAACAATAAAATTTATAATCTCAAGTCTCAACATACAACTATCATGTATTAGATCATCTATAACCCAACTTTATTGTTTATATTTAAAAAAGTATAAAAAAAATTAATGCAAATAATGCTTCATTTGCAATCTTACATCATTTTTTTGCACAAAAAAAGTTATTATATTTATATTATACCTAATCATGTTTAATAAAATAAAAAAAATTATTTAATAAATATAAAACTTAGAATATATATACTCATGATTCATAAAGTAAAGTTGAATAAACATAATTTACGATAGAATAAAAGTAACACATGAAACAGTTGACATCATTTTGATGCATATTTCCAAAATCTAGTACTAGTACCATCCCTCACCCTTTTTTACTCCTAACAAGTGTTAACATTGTTAACAAATGTATTGATATTACTATTACTCTGTAAGATCTACGATATGCAAGTTGAAGATTTGTCTCATATTTTTATTAAATGTGAGATATCCACGACTATTTGGAGTTTCATTAAGAAATGAGGTGATGTTTTACATTCCATTGTTTGTTGAGGTGGTTAGATGTAATTCATTGGATTGATATGGTCCAATTGTCTACTTCTAAAAGCAATCTTATGGAGGCTATTATTATTAGGGGTGAGGATAGGCAAGTACCAGGTATCTAGGGTTGTTTTTGATGATAATAAGTGTAATGATAAGCAATCTTATGGAGGCTATTATTATTAGGGGTGAGGATAGGCAAGTACCAGGTATCTAGGGTTGTTTTCGATGATAATAAGTGTAATGATATATCTATCTATCTTACTTGGTATACATCGTAGGCGGAGTTTAAGATGAAAACTGGAGGCGTTATGTACTTCAACAGATACTGAGGGAAGATGCACTGCCAATTAACAATTATGTCAAAATAATGTTCAGTTTATGAAGAAAATCGAAAGAAAAGAGAGTGTAAGCTATTAATGAACAATTACTTGTTTGGGATCAGTGATAGAAGTTGTGCAGTTCTCATCCAGGTTCTGTTCTATTCCCTGTCACAAAAAATTCCTTTTATTGTTTCTGTTGTGTACAAAAATATCAAAGAAATGAATTTATTTACTATATCTTTAATTAGTTTGTTGGGGTACCTGTAGAGTGACAAGATGCTGAAAGAAAGTTCTTTGGGTGTGGTTCATGGTGATATCTGGTCTGCAACCCGAAAAGGGGAAAATCAAAATGAAAATATATACTATATATTAATTAAAGCAAAAAAAATATTAAACTATTAATATTTAATATTTAATAAGAAGTTATATAAGAACATACGAGTCCATGAAAAATCCAGCATCACCCAGACATTTGACAGTGGTGGTATTTGGTAGATAACTGGTGAAGTTATTGCAATGTAAGTAGGATGCTAAACCCCAGCTGAACACCCAGAAAGCAAAGCCTGGAAAATTTAAGTCAACATACACACAAAAAGTAATACTATATATATATATATATATATATATATATATATATATATATATATATATATATATATATATATATATTAAGATGATGAACTTCATTATTGAGTAGATTTTGAATTGAGGTGTATTAATTGTATATACCTTGTTAGCAAACCTCATGCCTTTTGGCAGAAGATCTTCAATAATTGCTTTCCAAATCCACTGCCCTCGGAAAAACAGAACTAATGTCTGTTTTGAAGTTGCATGAAGAAAATGTTAGGGGCTGTTTGGTAGCATCAGACTCATTCATATCTGGATGATGAAGAGGATATTTATGAATATGTATCTGAATAATAAATCGATGTTTGTTTACACATCTGAATGACTTCATCTTAATAAGGAAAATGACCATTTTAACCCTCTAAACTATTTTTTTACATACAAATTAAACATTATAAAACATCTATTAGACATCAAACAAACATCCAAATTCATTATATATGGATCATTATATCATAATATACCAATAACAATTTTATAACGATATCTCATAATATTTTCCAAAACAGGGATCTGTTGTTGATATCCTCCAGGTATTAACCTGTGGGGTCATCAAATCGCTAAATACTTCACCATTTCTTGTTATTTCAATCACACTCTCACAACACTTTCTCCCCTTAGAAACGCCAACAATGGAAGATTGGATCAAGAAAATATCAACCCATATCACAAACTGCATACAGCAACTCAACGAAATTGTGAAGAACAAAAAGAACAGGGCACAAACCACAGAAAAGGGAGCAACAAAAACACGACTGAAACACGAATTTCATCCAAAATCGAGCTTGCAAGAACACGATTTAAACATCAATTTCGAGAAAAAAAAAACAAATCAGAAAAACTTACCAGAAAAGAGGGAATAGGCAAGGGAGGAGATGAAGAGGGCGAAACGGAGCAGTGTTGTCGGAAGCTGTGCTGTCGGAGGCTGACAGGAGGAGGCGGCGATGAAGTTGGGGGCAAGCAGGAAAGCTAACGACAACTTTAAAATAGGGAGAATGAGAGAGGAGGTTTCGATGTATAGGAAGAGGGGAAACAAAAAAATGGCGGACATTTTTTTTTAGGATAAGGGTATCGCATGGAATTATTTCCATCCAACTCCTTAATATCTCTTTCCCATTCAGACCAATTTTTGTTATATCTGACCGATTAAGAAGCTAAAAATATGTCAACCAAACGCTCCTCTTTATGGGATCATTAAGAGGCCAAACAAACAGCCCCTTAGAATGTTGGTATTATTAGCAAGAAAGATTACACTATGTATTTGTTAATGATAAGAAATAAGAGGTTAACAATGAAACTATTTAAGTCATATTTATTATTATACTCCATTGTCAAACTTATTATCCCCAGCAAAAGATCCTCCATCACAGTATCGAAGCTTCACACGATTCCAGTTGTAAAAATCTGTTTATCATAAATGAATTTTCTCATGTAAGAATTCTTATTGATGTCTTCATAAATGTAGATTGCAGACCAAGACAAGGAATATAATTAAAGATGATTTATGGTTTATTTTCATGTGAATTACTTTAGTTTGGGATATGGATAAGAATGAAAAAAATTAATAGATATCTTGGTAAGCGAAAAAGTTTCACGGATGATACAGAAAAATAAAAAAGGCCACTTTTGGTTATGGAGTGGAAAATTAATATTAAAAAGTTGATGTACTACTAGTCTACTACTGATAAATACAAACATACAGAGATACCAAGGAGTAATTTGATACCAAAAAGATTAGGGCTTACATTCATTAGTTGCAGGGAATTAAAATATAGAAGAAATCGAGGATACAGTTGAAGCAGATATGGTGGAGAATGGCGATGGGAGCAGGCCGACGACCGTTAGTGGGAGATGTGAGGCGGGACGACTTGAAGGGAATTAAAATCTAGAAGAAATCGAACAAAGATTAAGCATCTACATTATATTCTTCAAATTAAAAAAAAAAACAAAAAAACAAAACAAAAACTAGGTTTTACCTTTGTGGGAGAAGAAATCGAGCAAAGAGGGGTAATGACGGATGAGCTATGCTGCCGGAGAGGGAAGGAACGTCGGAAAATGGGTGAATGCGCCGGAGAAGGGACGAGCAACGAGAGGGTTTTGGGTGGCGTTCACAGAAGACAAAAGGTGGGAAGACAGAAGCGAGGAGTCGATATAAAGGAAAGCGTAGGAATCGATATGAAGAGGCCCAAAAAATAATGAAAAAAAGGGGTGCAGGACTCGACCTCAGGTAAATTGCCTACAAGACCAACGAAAACACCACTTGTCTGGGAATGCCACATCCATACTAATCTTGATCGGTAAGCATTTTAACCACTTCCATTACCGTTGTTGTTGTTGTTATTATTATTATTATTATTATTATTATTATTATTATTATTATTATTATTATGCTTATTATTATTATTATTATTATTATTATTATTATTATTATTATTATTATTATTATTATTATTATTCAACTAATTATTATTATTATTATTATTATTCAGCTAGTTATTGTTGTTGTTATTATTATTATTATTATTATTATTATTATTATTATTATATTCGAGTCTTAATTTTTTTTTTTTTTTGGATAAATTTTCTTACATATTTTAGACACGAACAGTTAACTTTCTAAAAAGTGTCAACTTTCTAAAATTGGATTTTTGATGTATTTTTTAATATAGCAACATAGTCCAAATAAAAAAATTCTGCGCTGACCTGGCAGCTCGATCCCAGCCAGGGGCAGAGCCCCTTGGACCCCGCCAGGGGC